ACCAGAATTTCTGCTTATTCAGGCAGAATCCTTCTTAGAGAATTTTTTTGGATCTAATTAAATAAATACCTTAGGACAACTATTTAATCCTAAAATAGGAAACAACAAATTTCTGGAAAAGAGGATTGTCCAAACTGGAAAATGGTTGGCAATAACATGCTGCAGGATGGTCACAGACATTCAGGGTAAAAGGAAACCTTGCAAGCAGAACAATAACTTGAGTAAAGAAGCCATGTAAATTAGTTTCCAAAATTTAAGAAATTTAAGCTGATATTTGTTGGGATGTCTGGATACTGTGCTGTGGTTCTGTGAAGAGGCAGAGGACAGGATTTTTCAAGCTGGTTACTCAGATCTCTGTGTAGCTGCATGAATCAGCTATTGATGGTTTCTGCTTTGATCTTATACATGATGGTTGTCATTTTTTTGGAAAACAAACATTACTTCAAAAGTAAACCAGAGTAACAGAGCACTGAGTGTTCTGAAACCTTCAAGTACCTTTATGGCAATTAATGTATCCTAGAGGGCCAAATGCTTTGGATAGGTGGGCAGTGGTGGGGTTTGCTTGGAACCTGGAGAGTTTTAAGGGACTAAAGGATTTGGGCAGGTGTGCTCACCCTGCACCTTCTTTTGGTAATTGAAAATGTTAAATCCCTGGCTTTGTATGAATGAAGGAAGAGCGGCTTTGCTTGCCAAGTTGGAAGCTCTCAGCACCACTCAGCGTTGCATCATTCTTTTTTTTCTTTCTTAAAAACGTATATACTATTATTTCTAAAATGTCACTGTAGATGTCCCATTTGTAGTGATCAGACCTGCTTGCTGGTGAAGTTACTGTGACTGAAACAGATCAGACTGAATCTAGCAAGTATTGACTAATTCTGCAGAGAAACAACACAAGAGTTGATAAATGAATGGGTCCTCTAGTTTACATTATATCTTTGGTTTTGTGTTGCTGTTCTTTTTTTTTTTTTTTTTTTTCTTCAAATCCTTGCTCAGCAGGGACTTGTACACAAGAGTGCTTGCCTTTGTATTCCCTATTCCTGACACCTTTGCCTCTGCACATCTCTTATGTGCTCATTCTTAGGGCCTCTTTTCAGTGTTCAGTTTATCTTTAGGCTCAGGGCTTCTGGTGCTCTGATCGGCACTTACATGAACAGTGATTTCTTGCAGCAATGACATTTGGTTACCAGACAAGAGCAGAGCAAAAAAATAAATAAATAATGCAAGAACTCTAAAAAACCCACTTCCAAAGACAACTTACCAAACAGTTGTTCAAATCAAACAATTCTTTCCCCTTCTTTCCACCCCCAGCCCTAAACTCTCCTGCCCCCTCCTCCAAAGGGTAAGCAAGGTAGATGCATTCTTCAAAATTGCATTGCTGGATGTGAAGCAAAACAAAGACAGAACTTAATGGTCCTGTGATGGTGCTGTGGTGGTTAGTAAAGTGATACATGTTGGATTTTCATAGCCTTGGTTGCTGTACGTTGAGTGTCTGAACTTTTCTCATTAGCTTTAATATGTTTTCTAATGACAATGAAACAATTCAAGCAGCAGATTTCTGAAGGAAAATTGTATTTCATGGGTAGTTAAAGTTGCTTTTCATCAGTACTGTGATTTAATATCCATCAGACTGTTTTATATCTCGAATGTGCTTTGTGGTATGTCAGTGATTTGCTATCTGTTTCATGTTGTCTGTCTGGTGTGTAATATGTGATCTCTGTAAAATCCCTGTAGTGTTAGCAGTTTTCAGAGATTTGAGTAAAAAAGACCTAATTAATGCCTTATCTCTTCCTACACCCTCCTTACTGATGCTTTTTTGTTGCTTGTGGTGCCTCTTGTTCTTTGCTGTTTTTGCTCTTCAAAGAACTAATGCACGGTGACAGCTGATGTATGCTGTGGAGGGAAGCATAAGCTCTTTGAAGAATCTATTCAGTTATTCAGAGTAACCACCACTTCAAGATTTGTCTTTTATCTGATCAAATTTATTCCATAAAATATAGCAAAGTTTTCCATGATGTGAGTTGATTTTCTGATGCTTATTACTATCCTTGGGCTGTAGGGCAGCCGTGTTGCTGCTTCTTTGAAAGTTGCTTTCACAGACCTTGCTGCAAACTCACATAACATATAAACATTGAGGGTTGTGCTGTGATGGCTGCTGACATCGAGCAGAACCACAGAACATACCTAAAAGTAAGATCCAGAGTCAGAGTAGCCCTGCATTACTAATTCAAAAGTAACTTCTTTCCTCACCCGACTACAAAAACTAATATCAGAAGCCTTTTTTCTTATTATGATAAACCTAGAAGTCTTGGAGAAGATAGAGAGCTGGTTTATAATGCAACATATCAGTAACAAAACATGAACACACGCAGTAAGTTGTTTGATGTTGAAACTCGATAGGGCTTTTACATTGGTACAAAATCTGCCACTGATAGAAACAAGATTGAACAGTTGTATAACGCAATATTTCTTAAAATACATCTCAGTTAAGACTTAGCAGACATTAATGCACATTTTAAGGTTGTATCCTCTTCTGATTATGTGACCCTGACCACAGATACATGAAGCATACATTTGACAACTGATGGGTTTGAGTCTTCTTGAAGAACACATTTAAACATAGTAAATTAGTGAAATTTTCTACAACCTGCATAGGCAGGTCCACTTAATTTGGAACCAGTGTTTTAATTAAGCAGTTTGAGTTGAGCAGTGTCTTTCAAGAAGTTACCATCTCCCATATCGTATCCCCATAGTTCTGTTCATGGTATTGTTCTCAGAATATTTTGATAGAAGATCTTAGTTCAGCAAATAACGAAAGGCGAGAAAACAGTGAAATATAAATTTCTCTGGGGGGCATGGGATGACCTCAATATTACCATGATTCAGTTAACAAATTTAGATCAAGACATTCAAACTCAAATGTTTAGGATGAAGAATCTGAAGGTGAGGTTAGGGGGCAGCGGTTAGGTGCTTGATATACTTTTGAGAATGAAGGAATGTCAAGTCTTCACTTTAGCCTCTTTTTTTTTTTTTTTTTTTAAACCTTATCGTTTTTCTTGTCAACTGCAAATGCTCATGAAACAGCCACTAAAGTGGAATTTTTATGTTTTTGTGACTGGAAGAGAAGCACGTGATTGAAAATATTTGGTAGCTGCTTGGGACCATTTCATCTCCATTTGATGGGAATCAGGAGTACAACTTTAAAATTATCTGTAGTGTGGGTATAAGCAAGTTAATAAAATCTCCTGGAAAACTTGTGTGTGGTTTCAGAGGGCCAGAGTATTTGACATATACACACAGTTTATTGTAAGCACTCTAACTGCTTCTGTTGTCTTGTGCTGTGTGTTTTTTTATTTTATTTTATTTTTTTTTGTTTTTTATATCTACTATTACAGAAAAGAAGTGAAAGTAAATGGAAGGAAATAAGACAGTCTTGTCATTTTTAAAGTAGCATGGATTTAATGAATGATTTTATTTCGAGTATTTTTTGAGTTTATTCTTTGAGGTGTGTTTTTTTTAGCTGCACAGTCCACCTTTGGGTTTTTGGGAGGTAATTAGAGGATTTGTAATATCCTACTGGTTTGATCACAACTTCTGCTCATGACATTTTATAATGAGTATATAGTTTATAAATAACATTTCGAAGGTATAAGGTTATACAGAGATAATTGCACAGCTGAAATGCATTGGCACAAGGCCAAAGGCTAAGCACTTTCCACCATCCCTTGTAAATTGAATAACTTCACTTTATGAAGTGTATCATCAGAAATTGTTTTCATTACTCCCAGAGGGCAAATTAAGGTTAATAAAAATCCACTTCCAGATTACCCAGATGTGTGAATATTTGTATTTTTAGAACCTTTCCTTGTCAATCATATTTCTTACTGAGTATGTATATGCAAATATAGGCATGTAGGTCATAGTTTCAGCTCATTTCTACTATTCTGAATGGTTTTACCTCTGTGAGACAGACTTTCTGTAAACACAACTGTGAGACCCATCAGGATTATTCAGATTGAGTAAAATTAAACACCGTCCTTCCCTTAAGCTGTCCTTCCTCACATCCACTGAATTCCATTGTCTTGGATTTCGTTTAACCCATGAAGCAGCCATTTGACCCATCTGCCTCAGTCCACAAAACCACTGTATATCCTCTTTTTTAAATGTTAAGTAGCATGCTCTCCATGTGAGGCAACCCAGTATTCTGTGGATGCTTAGGCCATCTGAGAAACAGAGTCACAGCATGGCTGAGGCTGTTGGGGCCCTCTGGGCTCACCTGCTCCAAGCCCTGCCCAAGCAGGGCCACCCAGCGCAGGCTGCCCAGGCCCGTGTCCAGGTGGCTTTTGGAGTTCCCCAAGAAGGAGACTCCACAACCTTTCCGGGCAGCCTCTGCCAGGGCTCCTCACCCGCACAGCACAGAAGCGCTGCCTGATGCTCAGAGGGAGCCTCCTGGGCTCCAGTTTGTGCCCAGTGCTCTTGTCCTGGCACCACTGAAAAAGTAACATTTTTGTAAAAGTGATTTAGGAGGGAAGTTTCATCAGTTTTCTCCCTGTGATAAATTAATTATGCATATAATCTGAAATAGCACACACGTAGAAGTCATCTCTTTTAGTACCCTGCTTTAACAATGTTAAAGACTTGTTACAAGTTTTGTCTTCTGTTCATTCTGCTTCCCTGTGTCCTCCCCTTCTCAAAAAAAAAAAAAGAAAAAGAAAAAAAAGAGAACTTCCACTGTCTTACCAAGACAGCTGTTTCTGCCTCTTAGTGTAAGAAAGAATATTGTATATAATTAACAGTATAAAGAAAAATATAAGAAAGGGCCTAGTGTATAGTAATACTGAGAATAAAGCATTAGGAAAACCAAAGAGAAATTCTAATTGGAAATCCTTGGAAGAAAACTCAATGATGTTACAATTTATAAATCTATGCAGTCTTTTATGTGATTGTTGCATTTTTTTTTTCTTTGTTGGACAAAACAATGTTTAGACAATTTTTCTCTAAAGGTCATTGACATGCCAGAACACAATCCTGGAGATATGGGTGGAACCATGAGACTGGGGAAGAGGAGGACTGTTTTCAAAACACAAAATTCTATTTTAAGTAAGTTAAATTTTTGCTCTTATCACTTGCCTTTTGGATAGGAACTCTGTAACATGGCAAAGCAAAAATACCAAAGTACATTTTGTTAAAGGACTACAACCTCAAGCAAGCAGTTGGGTGGCAGCTTCCTTGAGCTCATACACCTTGAGCTTTACACCTTGAGTGGCACTACTGTTTTTGAAAAAGTGTCTCCTTAGAATTAAGTCATATGCTGCTTTTTGCAAAATTCCTGTATTATTGCTCTACAAATTTTTGGAGGTCTTTTTGGCAGTCCAGTTCTTGTCCAAACCTCCTAAGGGAGACGGTACTCCAAATGATGCTAGAATAAATTAAAGTGGAGTTCAGGCCATGGCTGTGATAGAGATGATTAAATGCCGGTTTACTACATATCTTAAACTTACTCCTCGTTAGTTTTCAATGTAGAGCATTCCAGATTAGGCTCAGAGGGCTGCAAGAATCATTTGGGTAAAGAGATCAGGAAAACAGAGAGAAAAACAACATTCAGTTTGTCACTGGAGGTATGGCAGCCGCCAGGCACAATCTATTAAAATGGAACAGATGTTAATAAAAGGCTGCGGAGCTTCTTTCACTGCATGCACATTTTGCATAGAAGTGCAGTAAAACCTGCAGGGATTTTATGTTGCTTTTTTGTTCCTTTTTTTTTTCTTCATTATTGTTAATTTGTGTATTACAGTGTAAATTACTTTACTCGTGGTCTTCACACTCTAAAGTCTAACTAAGCTACTTGTGTTTGAGGAGAGTTGAGTATGAAACCTGAATAAACTCAGGTAACGGTAAATTCAAAGAAACTAGTCATCACTCAGAAAAACAGAAAGCTGGAGCGAGATGAATAGTGTTATGTGTTTTCCATGTGAAAAAAGTAAGGTTTAAATTACAAGCCATATTTGTAACGGCTATTAAAGTAACACATCAGTGTTAATTGCTTCTTTTTTTGTGTATTCAGGAAAACTTTACGGTGATGAAATGTTTGTAGAGGAGCGACACAGGCATCGATATGAGGTAAGCTCTGCTCATACATTTTGTGCTCAAAACTTAAAGCTTAAGCAAATCATGTTTCTCCTTGTAGGCATGATTTGCTTTAAAGCCAATGAGAGATTTAAGTAAATTAAAAACAAGGTTTGCTAACAGTAAGGTAGAGACATTTAGGTTGGAAGGAACCCCTTTATTTTGTTCACATACACGCCTGGAGCTGAGTCAGGTTTAAAATTAGATCAGGATTCTCAAGGTTTTGTCCCATTTTCTCTTGAATTTCTCTGGAGAGGGATATTCCACAATATCTTTGGACAATCTGTTCTAATGCTTAAACACTTAGTTTAAACCATTCTTCCAGTATGTTTCATAGGAGATTCCCTTGGGCACTTTGTCATCTCTCTCCTACTCTTCTGCTGTGAACCTCTGAGCAGAGTCTCTCTCCATCTTCCTTATACTATCCCATTAGATAATTCAACAACCAGATCCATGCTTCACCTTCACTTCTCCAGGCTGAACAAAGCAAGCTCCTTCAGTCTATTCTCCTGTGTTGTATGTGCTCCAGCCCTCTGAGCATCCTGGTGGACCTCTTCTGGATTTGCAATATTTTGTCAATGGCTGTCTTGTACTGAAGGCCCTGAAACTGGACACAGTATTGTAGAGGTGTTCTTTCAAGCATTCAATAGAGGGGAGCAGAGCAGTCTACTGCCTTAGTAAAACTTTTTGGGAGTGGTGTTAGCCACTGACTTGACTTCCTGTGAAGTATTTGAAAGGTACAGGTTTATAATCCTTAAGGAGATTGTTCTTGGTCTGCCTAGGCTTAGATAATGCTTAGGAAGCCCATTTTCTTCCACAGTCTAAATGTAAGCAGACTTCAGGCACCTACAACTCAGAGGCTAATTCAGATCACTTGCTTCTTAGCAGTCATCCAGGGGAATGGTTGGGTTACATGATCCTGGAGGTCTTTTCCAACCTTAATGATTCTATGATTCTACGGGCCTCTGATACAGGTCCACACCTCTGCTATAAGAGCACACTTCTGTTTGAGAATATCTGAGCAAAGGTGTCTCTGTATGTTCAAAATTCTATCATCCAAGTAGACAGGCACTAGCTGGACACCAACTCTGGGATGTTTCAGAAGGCACCTGAATCCATAACCATCTCTAGAGTAGCCTGAAGTATCAAATGTATGCATGTTACAAATTGATTGAGTCAGCATTAAGTTTCCTTAAAAAGCTGGGAGGAGAATGTGATGGTAGTGCTCAAAGTCTGAATGTTAATGGAGTGGTTAGATCATCAGCAAGGAAATGAAACAGCTTACTCCAGAGCTCCTGTTTGAGGGATTTTGAACCACAGCTCATGTCAGAGACTGCTCAATTGTGGTATGCAAAGAGGAAGTCAATCTTCCCCCCTGCTATGATAGACCATTTCAAAAATGAGGAATGCAAGCTCTTCATCAGGAGGACAGCAAGCAAGAGGGACCCTGGCTTTAATCTTCTGTATGTATTTATTGTTAAGGTTTTAAATTACTGATTCATCTAATATAAAATAAGTGTGCCCATTTCTGAATACTTCTACCAGAGAGTTGTCAAAACAAGAAAGCAAAAATTCCTAATTCTTTTCCCAATTATTTTCATTCCTTTATACATACTAAAAGCGCTACAATTAACTAGTACATATTGTTAAATAATAAAAAAAAATAGAACTACAATTTTATTATTATAATTTTCAATATTTCAGGTGAACCCCGAACTGACTCACAGCTTTGAAGAGAAAGGTTTGAAATTTGTTGGCCATGATACAGAAGGGAACAGAATGGAAATTATTGAATTGGAGAGTAAGTATCTCACTTGTCTGTAGTACTTTCTGCATCTATTCAAACTATGTAAACTATAGGTAGCTAAATGGCATGTAGAACAACACATAGGTGTCAAAACAGCCAGGATCATATTAGGGAGTACTCTTGACTCCACTTGTGTATTACAATAGGTGAAGATTCAGAGGATTTTATCAGCCAGTGTCTTATACTTCTCAATGACTGTGCATGTATCAGATTATCAGGGAGACACTTACTCCTTTTCCAAAAGGTCATAGTTCTAGCTCAGTGGCTATGTGGAATTATAACGTGATTTGGGAGTCTATCTAGTTCAACCCTCTGTTCAATACAGGGCTACCCTCAAATACAGATCAGGTTTCCAAGAGCCATATCCAGTCAAGTTTTGACTGTCTCCAAGTTGGTTATTGGTTGGACTTCAAACCACTCACCACTATTCTTTGAACCCAGTCTAGCCATTTTTAACACATTTTGTAGTCCACCCATTCCATCCATAGCTCCCAACTTGGGTGATAGGAAACTGTATCAAAAGCCTTGCTAAAGTCAGAATTAAGGAAAGCTACTGCTCTCCCCTGATCCGAAAACTGATTATTCATATTTCCTTTACTGTCCTTTGTGGGTCTGAAAATGGCTTTATTTTGCATTCTTGCCATAAACCAAATTTAGGCTGACTGGCCTCTAGATCCCTAGATCCTTCTTGTCTTTGTTGAAGATGGGCATGGTGACTCTCTTTTTCTAGTTATCAGGTACTTCTCATGGTCACCTTGACCTTTTAAAGGTATAAGCCATCTTTGCAATGATGTTGGCCATAAGCACCTTTGGATCTTCTCAGTCAGGTTTCAATAACTCATATATATTTAGTTTGCTTGAATTTATGAAATATGAATACATGCTATATAACCACTGTAAAACTGTGACATCTGCATCCTTGCAGATAGAGACCTTTAAAACTTGACTAGGCAAAGTTGTCAGCAACCTGATTTAATTCTGAAGTTGAACCTGCTTTAAGCAGGAGTTGGGACTAGAGACCTCCCAGGATATCTTCCAAACTCAGTCAGTTTGTGTCCGATTACCCCTTGTTTATAATCATAGGGAAAAAAAACACAAGTATGAATATCATATAGAAAGCAAATTCCTTTCTTTCACAGAAGCTACTCAGATAAATGAGAGTTTGATTCTGTAGAAATCTGGTAGCATTGGACTACTTTAGCAAGTAAAGCTTGATGTATTTTCTAAAGCATTCCAAGACAAAAAGGAGCTACAGTGCATATTTTTATTGAAAATTTATACAGAGCAGCTGTTAGAAATAGTCGTTTTGGTTTTGCTTGAACCCTTGAACTCCTTGCTTTTAAGTCACTGTTGGCAGGATGAGTACCAGGCACCTGAATATGTTGGCTACCTTACAAGATTTTTTTTTCCTTTTCTTAAATGGCCAAAAATTACTATTGGTTTAGATAAACTCCATGCACAGAAACATATTATGAGAACACGTTATCATTCTATATAGAGTGCTATTTCTGACATGATGTGAGAATTCATTTCGTACTCCAAGGTATATTGAAGAACGGTCTTGTGATTTTGAACAAGGGTTTGAATGTAGACATCTACTTATAGTTTCAAGCAGCTGCATCATAGAGAGTAAAATGAGAGCAAAAAATACATAAACTACTAATTGTCATGGTATTCTTTATTTAGTTTGTTCCTGGTAGATGCATGTTTGTTCCTGTTGTGCATGTTGGTGACTGGTTGGGAGGCTATTTCGTCTGTCCTGCATGAAACAACTTCTATAGAGAGCATCATGAAATAAATCAGGCAGGATTTTTAAATTGCATGTTACTGTGAAAAGAATAAAAGCAGCAGTATAACCTGGAATTATTTCACAATGGGCTGCTAGGAGACTCTGATTACTAAAGAAGAAAAACAATCATCATAGGGAGGAAGCACAGAAATAAAGTTATACCAGATAGCTCAGGCAAAGCTGTTAGCAAAATATCCCCACAGGAAATATACGATACTTTGTCATTGTCTTGTATTACCGCTTTTAAGAACTAAATTGCATAGTAGAGAGAAAGAAGTTATGGGATAATTTTAGGATCCCAGGTTCTTTTTTAAGACATAGCAGCAGAGGGAAGAGCAGTATATTTGTTTATATTGTTTATCTTCAAAGAAGAAAACCCCTGCTTTCTTGTTATCCCTTATTCTGTACTGCAGAGAAATTCCTTGAATGTTTGGGATTGTTTTGGAAATTGTCAAACCAGAAGGGGTCTGTGGTTAATTTCATCCAGTGTCCTGATATAAGAATTGGTTAATGTTAGCTTCTTTAAACTCATATTCAAAGAAGGAACAGGTGCACAGTATGGAAGAGCATGAAAATAATGTTCTATCCTTATTTTTCCAAAGAAGACAGAAGGGATACAGAAGCAGCTGTAACAAGGTGCTATGACTGGAGAAACAGAAAGCTAAAGATTTAAGAGAAGACAAACCAGCACATCTTGATTAGTGCAATAAATGGTGTTGAATGATGATGTTACTGTCATCCTTCATCACCCAGGATAAACTGCAGGAGAGTACCATAAGAAATGGACATAATTTGGCTGTAAAAAGCATGGCCTGTTAATTAGAAAATATTTTCTAAGCAAAATGAGGGACTATCAGAAGAACTTTCCAGTGGGAGCAAAAAAATCCCAGTGGACGTTATGGGAGAGCTTTGACCATTTGTACGTGAGACTATGTGATATCACTGCATTCAATAACAGGAGACTAGACTTAACGGCCCGGCAGATCTCTTGCAGGCCCAGTTATCTGAAGCTTGTTTTTCCCTATTTTCTGTGTATATTGCTTTCATATTCATCTCAGTGTGTAAATAGTTGCTGTAAGGTAACGCCTGGTCTTTCAGGAACTGTTTTATTTTCCCTTCAGGTACGTGTAAGTGCATGTTCTGAATATGTATGCATGTTTAAATGTGAATGTTGGATACCAAAACACTATGAAAAATAGCATGAAATAGGCAAAGTTAGGGTTGTCTATGCAGCATTTTTTTCCCTTACATGTCTGTACAGATTTATTATTCAGCTTTTAGTTACATCATTGTGCACAGTAAAGTTGAATCACAGGATGATTTTTCATGAATTTGCTTTACTAACCTCCTGCCACTGTTGTCAGTTGCTTTTCATGAAATAAAGTTGAGGTTACCACTGTCCCACCCTTAAATTCACACATGCTAATCTGGTTTCTAGACTAGACTGCTGTGTGAAATCTTGAATAAACTTTTGTTCTAACAGTTCTATTATTATCTTCCTATGTCTTTTAATTTTCTTTGACATCTGTCTTGTAGACCACCCATATTTTGTGGGAGTTCAGTTCCACCCAGAGTTTTCCTCAAGACCTATGAAACCTTCACCTCCATACCTTGGACTGTTACTTGCAGCAACTGGAACACTCAATGCATACCTGCAACGTGGTTGTAAACTGTCTCCAAGGTAATCTTTCCTTCTTACCTGCTTGGAGTTTCACAGTCACTTTGTTGGAGGGATTATCCTGTCCAGCTTTTCAGAAGTCCAGAAAAGGAGTTCTTCATATATTAATATGTTCTGTGCAAGCCTGGCATAAACCCTGGTATAAAAGTATCTGTAAGCATATTCCTTGATTTCCCCATTTTCAGAGACTATTAGGGCTACGGTCAAATTTCTACATTTTAACAAGAAGGAAGTAAAACAAACAAACAAAAACCATTAATAAACCTAAGTTTCTAGCCTACTGTGTTAACTTCTATGAATGATAGTGTGAGGAATGTTTTAACAATTCCAATTCGTGTCCATAAATTCGTGTCCATAAAGGGAAAGAGATTTGCTAGAGGATCACAGGCTTACAGGGAAAGAGATTTGCTAGAGGATCAAGTGATCATTCTTATCCAACAGTATTTTAATGGCCACAATAACAAAACTGAAAACCCTGGTTCTATTTTGTAGAACCAAGGTTTCAGGTCTCTTTCTACTAGAACTGTCTAGTAGAAAGAGATCTGAAACAAAACAGCTGTAATATCTTTAAACTTGTGGAAAAGTTTGGATCTCAGTTGCCTTGGTCATAGAGTTTTTAGTGTGTTTGTGGAGTGTAGCAATACTTTTCAATCAGTGTTAGCTCATTTTTGTTTATTTGAATTATATTAATAAAAGTTACAATTTTGTTAATAAATTTCATGTTAATAAAGGTGTCAGAGGAAATCCTAGGGTACAATAACAAAAAGGAATAAAAAACTTTCAGAATCATTAAACAGTAAAACGAACAGATCCAGCCCTGGCTTGCTGGCTTTTCCTGTAAACAAGGCATTGAATTTAGTAGTTTTGTTTTCTTTGAGCATTGCTTTTTATTCTTAAATAGAGCTCCTTTTCTTATGAGAAAAACAGAAATTTTAGAAATTTTACTGAGGTTTTAGTATGAATGGAGCCAAGCCAGACCAGAACAATCCATTTTGTTACTTCTCTCCTTATGGATATCACCTGTCTTTCATAAATGCAGTTTGTCTTCGCTTATTCTGGCCATTCTGCAATTGCGTACATACAGAGATAAGTTTTCTGATCTGCGAAGTACAGTGTGATCAAAGTATTCCTGTTACCTTAACCAAAAAATTCATTTACTTTAACCTGTTACCTTTCCCTAAAGGGGAAATTGGTAATATGGTAGTTTTCAGAACAATGATCTTCTGGCGTTTCCTCTTGTGAGTGCTCTCTGCCTCACAGCTGGTTGTGTTTCCCAGCTCCAGATATCCTTCTCTTCCCACTTCCTCCCATGAATATACCTATTCATCTCTCTGAGAGAAAGAAGAATTACTTGCTTTGAATAAGTAGTCTGCATGTGTCCTACTAATTTCGACTGAAATCCCTTGGCAATGTAGTGAATGTTTTCTAACCTTGCCCTGAGGTTGCAGCAATTACTGAATGTGCTGCACTTAACTTCTATTGAACATATATTAATTCAAGTAAGTTTATACACAACTTTTTCCTTCCTGTTCATACTAAAAACTCCAGCCAACACTTTAATATTTAGCAAAGACAAGATCAAACCCCAAAACTTTATATAAAAAAGAAAATAAAACAATCAAACATACAAGAAAATAGATCTTAGCATTTACTTTGTTACACAGGAAACAGGCCCCTCTGTCCCCACCTAGAGAGAAATAGCATTGGAAAAGCAAAAGATTCTGAGGCTAAAATAGGAGCATTTATATTACACCACAACTACTCATATTAACCTATCCACCTGCTGAGTGGAAAGGATTTCCAGTTTAAACCTTTAAACCCCAGAATGGTAATGATGTCATTGAACAATGAAGCTAAGACATGCAGTAACAAGACTGTTTGAAACAAATTTGAGAAGAGGATTTTCTGTACACCTCACCCTGTACTGCCTACGTGAGTTGTAGTCATGCTGTTGACTGCAGCAAAGATGTAACCTGAAAAAGAATTTGTGAAGGCCAGCAAGTTGAGAAAAATATTACCTAAACTATATTAAAAAGATCAACCAACCAACCAAAAAAATAAATAAAAGGAAAGTTAATGTTGCAGCCCTGAGACAAAGGGAAATGCATATTTCAGCATGAGATTCTTAACAGGAAATCATTACGTTAGAATGTTTAACAGCCCCATAATTAGGACACAATTTTAGAACATCTGACACATGGACAGAAGCCCTAGCTTCTAAGCTAAACAAACAGTTGATTTAAAGATGCATCACACTTCTTAGGAGAGTGTCCTAAATAAATTAAAGCAAATAAAGCTTCACTTAGAATTCTTTTTGTGAGGCTTGCTCTGGTAAATGCCCTGAAAATGCTTACACACAGGTATAAGCCTACATATTTGAGAAAGGAATGCCTCGTCTGGGATAAATTTAGTTCCTAGGAACTTTGATGCTTGGAGGTAGTCAAGAACTATGGATCAAAGTATCTCAGTGGTGAGATATTACTTAGTTACCCAAATTGGTGAAGTGGTACTTGAGCATCTAAGTTGTCTTTGTGACTTCCATAGCTTAAAGATGTAAGTGCCTAATGATCATTCGCTTCAGTTCCTGATGAATGCTTTTATATCATGACCTTTTCCAAATCTTTACATGGAAGTACTGAAGTCACCATTTCACACAGAGCAAAGGTAGATGTATGGCTGTTTAGGCGATTCATTTCAAAGGACAGAGAAGACCAGAACCACAAGAAACTCTCAAAAAGTATACAAATCCCTCAAATACAGAGCTCTCCTTTAAAATAAACCAAAATATTTTAATTAACAACTAATGGAGGAAGAGGGAAGCTTCAGATATAATGTTGTTTTTTAAAGAGTCTTACGGAATTTCACTTGGAAAAAGTAATGAGAGCTGTTTTATCTTTGGGCACTATCCTATGGAATGCAAAACCACTAATGGACAACAAAGCCATGCTGCAGTGGGCATTTTTTCTTCTTTCCCTGAAGCCAACATCTTTATTAATGGCCAGCAAAATTAGGCTATAGCACATTAATGATCATTGCAAATAGTTTCAAATAAGGGAGAGCTGAAAGCACTATTCCGAACAAAGAAATAGTATAAATAGATCCAGAGAATTTAGAAACTTAAGCTGTAAATAATTAAATGCTATGATTTTGTGAAGGAGGAGGGCAACTGGGTAAAGGTAAATAATTTAAACACAAATGTCTAGTAAAAGGGGAGGGTATGTAGTAAATGAGATGTTCCTAAGTGAGAAAGTATTGGCAAATAAGACTGCTGCCAACATAAATTTCTCCAAGTCATTTGTGAACATGCTAAGGGAAGAAACCAATGCAGCACCATTTAGTAAGAGTAATCTGTTAAGTTCTGGGCAGGTTATTAATAAAAGGTGTCCCATAAGTCATATTCAGGGACAAAGACCAAAAGTGGTCAAAGGATAGAAAGTAATCCATAAAGAAAAAAAAATAATCAAACAAACCAAAAACCTTAGAAGATAGGTTTGTCCATGTGGTGCTCGCTGCACTGACACTAGTTCTGTGGGGAGGTTTGGGCAAGCACATGTAAACAGAACAGGAAAAAGCCTGTGTGACTTTTTCTGGTGTGTGAGTGACAACAAAGATATTGGTAAGGCTATCCCTGATGTCCCCTGTTAAGTACTTGGGTCCACCTACTCTGTAGGTGGGAAGAGGGAATGACTCATGGAATTGCAAAAGGACCTCTCAGAGTTGCTCCAAAATTAGAGTATGGCATATAGCATTGAAAGGGTTGGACCTCTTTAGAACTGACAGTGGTATATGATGTGTCATATTGATAGTTTTAAAGGCTAAAGGATGTTATCAAAGAAGCACTGTTGAAGAATTACAAGTAGCTGTAATGGAATTCATTTTTTTGAAGGTGAAAAGTGAGCTTCATCAAGAAAGATTTTGTGAGTTACACTTTACAGTAGTATAACTAAGAATGTGTCACTTAATCCTTCATAAACTAGAATGTGTGATATCCTTAGCAGCGTAAGTTAGCAGGACAAATAGGATGAAAGGAACTGTCCTACTTGTCCCAAACGATAACACATCTGGCCATCTGGCACAGTGTTATATTTCTGCTATTAGCAAAAGCCTGGCACTGCAGAGGAAAGTGAAGGAAATCGTGTGGCTTGAAGACTGTCAGAGAGTAGCAGGAGAGGGACTGTTCCACTAAAAAAAAAAAAAGGCAATTCAGAAGCCGGAGGTGGCAGCTGTACTGGTTGGGGTTGTATTCTCACCAGCAGGAAGCAGTGCCACAATCCCCAGAGGAGGCAAGAGGAGAGGCTCCAGTGGCAGTCACTGCAACTACTGTTGCAGTTCACTGCAAAGTGAAATACCAGCTGGGTACTGTATTTCTGTTAGCTATGGTTAGATTAGGTAAGGATCAAAGTGACCAAAATTCTTCATCTCTGTAACCTCAGTAGACTGTCTTGAATATTGACCAGAGGTAGTGACACTATGTGCTCCGTGTTTTGTTCTTTTTTTTTTTTTTTTTCCCCTTCTTCTTCTTGGCCTTATCTTTATACTGCGGACCTCATGGGGGGGAAAAAAGGGACTAGAACTGCTGTGGTGGACACGGAGTTGCTCACTATCTCCTTTTTGTTATATGAATCTAGTGTTGCAAGAGTGGTTACAAACAAGATGTATATCTTGGCCAAGATGTTTATTAATTTTTACAAAAACTGAGAGAAAAGTTGCTGAAGGAAGTTATAAGCATATTTTTTCATTTGAGGATTCACTGTGAAAAAGAATTTCATAAAGGAAAAGCCAGGCTTATATGATTTATTTCCCACCACCACGCATACACACTTTCATAGCCAGCACATTTAATTAAGATTTATACAGCATATGGAATAGTAGTAGATGTGAGCACAAAATATCCATTTCATTTTTATGTTTAATATCTGTGTAGCAACTCAGTGTTGTTGGGAAGGAAGAAGACATTTATTTACCTGAGAGGTAATGGCTGTTTTGTGGTTAATACCACCTGGAGTTTTTCTTCACATTATTTGTCAGTTGAATATAATTCATATCACAGGAAATGTTAGGAACTTCACGTCACTGTTGGTTTGAGGCGATAGCACCCAGGCCCAGATATACCAAGATTCATGTGTGCCTGTTTATAGCTTAGTTCTTGAAGGAATTCAGGTCTTCTGGGAGCCTAATTTCATCTTGTTAACATGATGCCACAGCTTCTGGGGATGCTTAGAGAAACAATTCAAACAGATGAAACTGTGAGACTGACAGTTACCTGTGTATGAAGCCCAAGGGTTGACCATTACCTCAGTATTTCCCCTCTCTTTCTTGCCACTGCGGCCTGCCTGTTAGAAATAAAACTGACTTACATCCAGCACAACCATTCTAAATTAGGAGAGACAGTGGAGTGCTACTGGAAAACAGTCAAAAAAAGTAGTGACGAGCCCTTTTCTGGGAAGTAGATTCAAACCTTGTCTTGTACTGACTGGGCAGCGTGGGAACGGGAACACTGTTGTAATCTGCCAAGTCAGTGGTTTAGCCTCTGGGCTAGTCGCTAGTCAAGCTGCTAGCCACCATCAGCTTCTACAAACAGAAAATGGATTGAAAAGTTGGGGTTGATAAGTCAAGTAAATGACTGAAGCATCCAGCAATGTGTGACAGCTCCTATGGGTAACTGGCTCCAAAACCTGCATCACTGAGGGGGGGAGGGCTGATGATGAGAATGTTTGGTGGAGATAAATGCCTAACTCTCTTCAAGAGATGAAGATAAGCAGCTCTCCATTCACTTCATTGGTCCCTGAGTATTTTTACTTAGATGCCTGAGGGCCTTATAAGGGTATAGGAAGATCTGGGTTATATTTTTGTGCTGCCACTAGGCAGCAAAGACAATAAAAAAATGTAATGCAGAGAGCACTCAGTTCTCTGAAGATTTTGGGCTTAAACCAGAGTTATCGTGGGACTGCAGAGCTCTCTGCAATCAGTAATTTTGCTTTGTGTTTTATGGACAATTTTTGCTATTTTGCTGTGATGTGAAAATGTAAAACTGTTTTAATAATACTGAATTTTTATTCCATGTTTCCACGGGTACTTTCAGAAAGAAGTAAGTACAGTGTCAGTGATGTTGTGTTTGTGTGTGTGTGCATCTGGCATGCTTGATCATACTGTTAACAACACTTTCCTCACTTGAATTGTGTAATTGTTCGACAGCTGGAAAAATGATTGAATTGAGCATTTCTATGTAGTTGTGGGAGGCTCCCTGAACAGTCAGAGGTAGAAATTAAAGAGATGGCTGTTGGTTCTTCTCCTCCTCTCTCACTCTATTAAAATGGCTATGTTTTTATTTAATCTTTACTCGTGTTTTTGCAAAGTGGAGGAGGTAAAATTCGGCCTAGAAAACAGTGCTTAGTAATGAGCGTGAGTATGACTGAGTGCAGTTTGTTCACTCTTCCACATTATAGTCTGGATCAAAGATCTCCAGCTGTGGGGTTACATAGTTCCCCTTGAAACACTACAGTCACTGCAGGTCAACTGATAAGGCTGTGTCTAGGTGGGTCATGGGTTGGTTTTGTGCTTGATGGCCCAGTGGGAGCTCATGCCCAGAGGCAGGGAGTGTTACGTGACTGAGGTCCTGTTGGCTTGGTGATTAAGAGTAAGATGTAACAAGATAGGTATGTGATGGCTGGAGTAGAGGTGATACCCAAGTCTGGCACCCACACAAACAAGGTCTGACATCCCCACCTGTATTCTGTTAACCATACAGTGCTCTCCGAAGTGTTGCAGAACTGACCAGCGTTATTGCTGTTCACATATACTTGTCAGTTCCCCAGACTCCCTTTGCTGGCTTCTAATCTTGGGAAACTCAGATATCTGGAAAACAGACTGTAGAGGTGGAGCTTGGTGAGGAGGAGGTTGAGTCTGGAGGTTTTTCTGAAGAGGTGCAGTGTGTGCACTCACAGTTAAGATAAACCTGGAGACCTGATAGACATCACTGGGTAGATACCACAAGGCCCTGTCCAGCTAACTAAGAATTTGTGGTTTGTGGGTACTTCTTTCTTTCAGTCACTGTGGTGATTTCCGTCCTTCACTGTTTCCTTGTTCTAGCCACTTATAAAATGATCATTTGCATGGCAGCTTGTTCTGTGAAAAACAGTCTATTTCTCTCAGGAAATAACAGAAGGGGGTAAAACCTCAGGAAAAAGTGTCAGGATAATGCGTGGTGGAATGGAAATGATTGATGTTCTTACTGGAAAAGCAAGAATCATAATTTAAATATAAATATAAGCTTTCTGAGTAAATAAAGTCGTCTTCTTTGGTCATTTTCTTTACCATAAAAAAGAAATTACTTCTAGTCTTATGCTGAATACCTGTTATGCTCCATGCTGTTGATTATGATTGCATGTATATGGCACTAGCAAACTATAGAATGAATATACAGTATCCAAACAGAAATAAACAAACAAACAAACCACAAATAGAACATATTTTTTTGATGGTGGAACATTGTTTCTCATCAGTTCTTAGACTCCAAACTTTCTTGCAGAAGCCCGTTTCTATAGAGGAATATATTCTAAAATACAAAAATTGAGCAGTAGGTTAATATAGTTTTCTGGAAATGGGTTGCATTTGAGGAAAGTGTTTTTCATACTCATCATCTGGGTTGGAGGGCTTGAAGTAAAACATGTATTGCTGTTCATATTTTCTAACTGTGTATTGCTTTTAACAGTGACAGCTACAGTGACCTCAGTGATGACAGCTCTCCAGAGAAAGAGTTTCCTAATTCAGAAACAAGATGAAATGGTTGTATGAGAACACAGAAATGGACAGTGCTATTGAGGTAAACTGAATTGTTTTGATACTGCTTTATGACATTTATTTGTTCTTGACTTAAAACAGGAGACAAAGTTATCTTGATTCTCCCCCTTTGTTTCAAATCCCGTCTGAGAGCTTATGTTTTCTTCCTTGCCTGCAGCAGTTAATTATTCTCCTTTGCTGCTGCTTAACTCAGCAATTACATTATTAAAGTCTGCTAAGTGTTTTGGGTACAGCTTATATGTAGGATGCTGTACAAAATCAAGTTGTGTTAGTGTTACAAGATACAATGAAAGCACTTTCAAATCTCGTGTTTTCTTTTCTGTTACTTCAGTTTGCAAGTTTGGATCACTTTGAGTACACCATGTTGATACAACTTTTTATTTTGCCTTAATATTCACTTATAATTTTATTTTATGCGTTGTTATATCAAATACATTCCAAGATAAATACTTGGAGTCAATCTGCATAGTGATTGATACACAAACAAGTTTTATAAAATTGTGTCTTTGTTTGCCACAGTGATGTTTCTTATAGGGCTGGTTGTTTTTTTTTTTGCCTGTAAAGATGGTAGCCTAACATTGCTGGTAGATGAGATTCATTTTCAGTCTGGAGATCATATTTCCTGTGAGCCACCTGACCTCTGCAGAATCTGGGACCACTGCAGAATCTAGGTCTGAATCTCAGTCTCACTTTTCTCAACACACATTCATCAGAGTTTTATCTGGCAAGGAACTCTTATCCATATGTACATTCACGCTTAGTATTTCTGAGCACTTCTGTAAGCAGGATACAACTTTTCCCTGCTCTGATTTTATTCCAGTCACATCGTGTAGTTACTAAGCGGCTGTGCTTAATCACTAAGCTAGTGATTGAGGCTGTATATGAATGATGCATTTCCACCTGATGATTAAAATACTGGTGAGATGCTAGAAATTGGAGTTTTGTCCTTAGCCACAACATGGGTTTCTTCTGTGACATTTATTTATTCTTCCCTCTCATGCATCATATATTAAAGATGATACTACATCCCTAAATCATGAGAAAGGAGAATAGAATGTTGAATGATTGCATGATCTGGTGCATGCAGGTACAGTACTGATGCATGTCCAAGAATGACCAAAAACCAAGTAGACATAATGTTTCTTTTCACTCTTGCCCAGATCCTTCCTACCTCCAAACATTGCTATGGCTCTGTTTCTTCAGACTGTCGTATAGTGCAGGACAGGCCCATAAGCTCTGATCTTGCTTTTCTCAATAGGACTTACGAATGACAATTGTCTGTTTACCATAGCAGTTGTGACTTTTTCAGTGCTTCGATGAATGTTCTTATGTGATGCTTTCAAGCGCAGTAGCCAGTAGTCACAGACATGTCACTGGTGAATACCAACTGTATTCAACAGAATTACTCTAGAAGGAATTCCAGATCTAAACAAATGATAGAATACTTGTAGCGTTTACCATGCAACTACTTTGGAGTTGAAAGAAACTGGCATAAGGATAAGGTAAACAGATTTACAGAAGAAATGTTTTTAATAATTATTTTTTTTCCTTTTGTTCTTCCTTCCCCTCCCTCTTTTTATATTACAGAAAGTTGGAAATGGGGCAATACTGAATAGAAGAAAGTGGAAGAGTAAGCTGCTTGTGCTTCTTACTACAAGAATACAGTATCTCCTCACATACCATTTGCAATTATTCTCCTTACAGAAAACAGTTCTTCTGTCCTTTAGCAAAATCTGTTTGTATAAATGCTGTTTCTCTTTAAAGATGACATAAATGGTTGTGCACCTTGACTGTTAATCATTATTGATCTTGTCCTATATTTCAGAATGATCTCAGGTGAATATGCATTATTTCACCAGTTCACAGTTATTCTTGCTTTGAAGGAAGGCTTGATTGTTTTCATTTCACCTTAGAACAGTAAGATGAAATACATTTGTCTTTGTCAATGAGGAGGGAATACATGAAAAATTTAAGGGGCAGTTGTCCATGAGCAGTAGAGAAAGGTTTTGGGTTTGTTTCCCTGTTAAGCTTGTTGTATGTATGTGTATATATATTTTTCTTTCCTTTTTTTTTTTTTTTTTTTGCTGTTCAATATGTACAAATGAGAAATTGTTTTTGTATTTCAGCTGTTTGTGATTATAATAATTGATGTTGGATATGCATGTCTTTTCTCTTGGCTTTTATATGTGATTCCATTTGACAAAAATTCAAGTTTGTTTGCTCTGTTTCCCCTGAAAGTCTGATAATATTGAACCTACCAAGTTACAGAAGTGATATTAGAAGGCGTTTTTGTATTCATATTTTGTAAGAGAGAAAGTAAATGCACTCATATTTTAAAATGCAAGCTGTATGCTTGCACAAAAGTTGTAGAAGAACCAGTCATAAACGTGGAGCATAATCTGGGTCCAGTTGTATAACACTCATTTAATTTCAACAATTGAGTATAACACTGAATTAAAGTTCAACCTTGTTTTCCCTCATCCAGTGACCTCACCATGGTGATGGGACTCACTTGCAGTAGGACAAAACAGTGTATTTAAATTTAGAAATCACAAGTTACTTCATTGTGTGACACGTGCAGGCTGCTCTTGCAAAGCCAGGACAATAGCCTGAATCACTGAGACAGAAAGGGAAGGTGAGAGGTGCTGTACTGTCTGTAAGGCTGGATCCCATTAGCACAGTGGCATCAGAGGAGATGGACCTAAGCTATGTAACTGATAGGTCCCAAATGCTTGAGGCACCCCTTCCTATAAAGCATTTTAATTGTTAGTTTTGTTTCGCTATGATTTTGGGCAAAGTGGCTTTTTTTAGTAGATCAAAAGGTAAATATCTGTACAAAAACAAAAAGCACCATGTCTCTTTTACAATTTTGTAAAACAGTAAGTTTGAGAGCTTTGTATTGCTTTATGAAATCTCAGGTTACTCAAACAATATCTGTCTTCACTAAAGAAGCTTTAATGGTAATGAAATAAAAAATGTTCCTATGGAAGTGGTTGTTTTAAAGTGTTTTACGAATACGTGCCTTACAAATAGCAGGTATTGTCAGAACTGGTATCACTGTATGTCTTTCCCAATGAGAGAGACTGGCTACTGGTTTGTGAAAAGCAAATAATTTCCTAACTCCATCTGTAATGTTCAAATGTATTTTCAAATATATTTAATGGTATTATTCAGAAGTGTTTAGATGCTGTCTTAAAGAATCTTGGTGCCAGATTCAGCTCTTGTGAGCTGTGGTGTCAGAGAGGGAATTTTTCAGTCTGTCGTTTCCAGTTGTATTGTCTGTGATGTGGCCACATGTGTCTGATGCGTATGTTCCTGGTTCATCAAGATGAAACAGTAGGAGTTAAATGTCCTAGGAAACTGCTAAAGTTGGTTTTGTGTAGCTGTGTTACAGAGAAGTTGTGATTTATCTGCCCAAAAAATGAGGGAGAAAAAGAAACACAACATGGAATGGAGCTGGAAACAGCACCTTAATCTTCCAGTGCCCTTCCCAAACCTCTTCCTGCTAACTATGCTACACAAAAGACTCTGTCCTGGAGATAGATTCCCTGTGGCAGTGATGTGTCTATCTCCCACTTGAGCTGATAGAGATGGCACATGCCATTTCCAAAACTGAAGAAGGCAAACAGGCCTTTTCCAGCCAATTCTGGGCTACATTAGGAAGAGTGTTGACTTCAGATTGAAGATTTTCTCTCTTCTCTACTCAGTGCTGTTAAAGCCACACTTGGAATAGTATGTCCAGTAATGGGCTTCCCAGTACAAGAGGAAACATGAACATACTGGAGAGAGTCCAGTGAAAGACCATGAAGATGAATAAGGGACTGGACCGTCTCTCATGTGAGGAAAGGCTGAGAAAGCTGGGACTGTTCAGCCTAGGGAAGAGAAGACTCGGGGGAACTTGGCAAAATATACAAAAATACCTGAAGGGAAGGTACAAAGAAGATGGAACCAGGCTCTTTTGGGTGGTGCCCTGTGCCAGGACAAAGGGCAGTGGGCAGGAACTGGAGCACAGGGGCCTCTCTGTCAACACCAGGCAGCACTTCTGTGCTGTGTGGCTGATGGAGCACTGGCACGGGATGCCCAGAGAGATTGTGGAGTCTCCTCCTTGGAGATCTTCAAAAACGACCTGGAGATGAGCCTGGGCAGCCTGCTCTGGGTTTCCCTGCTCTGGAAGGGGAGTTGGACCAGACAACTTCTAGAGGTCCATTTCAACCTCAAGCATTCTAGGAAAACGAGTATTGTTGTCATGAGCAGCCTATTGCTAAGCTTCACTAACTTAAGAGAGAAGAGAATGTGAAAAGCCAAAAGTTTTACACACAATCGTAAGTGTGAAGAAATAATTGTTAAGCATGGGCAGAGGGCAAAATTAGAAGGTTGAATATTTATCCATTTGAAACCAAATGTTCATGAAGTATGCTTTTTATGTATTTTCAGACCTCTCATCCTGTTCCAATAAGGATCTCCAGTGGAAATACATTCATTTCCTGGTGTTACATATATAGCAGAGAGCAGTATTTTATTAGCACTGACAGGACAAGAAAGCCTGCTAGTATGGAAGTGCACACCAAGTTTTATCGAAGTGAGGTTGCTTGTATGGTTTTTATTTGCATGTGAATAATGGAATTTGGATTCTTGTAAGGGGTAACAATGAAATAAAGCAGTTTGCTCTGGATTTATCATTCCAAAATGGAGTATATAATGGAAGAGATATAGAAGAGAGATACATTGACTGTGGGAGCCTGGTCTCCTTCCATGCTCTCTGTGATCTTGTCCTGACAGACTGTTGAGCCGGTGACTTAATGTACTAAACTGTCTAGACCAGGTACCATTGGTGTAAACTCTTCTTTAATACATGCTTGGAGAACATCAAGCTCTGAAATCTTGATTTTCCATCCTCTGTTGACTCATTGACTGTTGCCCAGGCCCAAGGTCTGTATTTGTAACAGTAAATGAATTAGAGCAGGGACAATAGTCTGGTTTGAGTCCAACTGCAGTGGCGACAATTGTATCCATACAGCTAAACCTTTATGGACATGCTGGAATTAATCCAGTGAAGGACAATTGAGATAGCCTCTCATATCACAGACGCTCTAAGAGAGATGGCGTCATTAGTGTGGAGAAGTGAAGGCTTAAAGGGGGATCTTATCAAAGTATAATGTGATGTTCCCTTCCCTGATGTGAAGGGAATGAAGGTGGAGGAAGACTCTTCTCAGTAGTGCCCAGTGACAGAAGATGAGGCAATGAGCAGGAACTGAAACAGAGGAAATTCTACTCAAATGTAGGATATAACTCAGGCATGGTTCTCCTAAAATTTCTCTGCAGGCATCTGAGCCCTGCCTTGTCAGGAAGATACTGGGGGTTTTGAACAGCTTGAAACTAGAGGACACATTCTCTGCAAGAGCTTCTGCAAACAGGAATTGCAGCCCCAAGCCAAAGGAAGTTTTTGGCAGAGAAGAGGCAGATTGGCAATGACCGTGAGGGCACGGCCTTGCTGCCCATGTGGAGGGGGTTAAGGGAGAATTTAGTGTCAAAGCACCAGACAAGTTAACAGTTGCTCTTCATGGGAGCAATGTTAGTTACCATAGCAAAGCAAATGAAATGTTCTCCCCAAACTGTGTGCGTCTTGATGACAGTAGGGAGTGTAATTACAGCACACAGGACTTCTGAGTCAGCTGGGCTATGGCTGACAGTGAAGCCAGGTCACCATGGAAATGAACGGGGGCTGTAGAAACCAATGTGGGACTGGCTCAGGCTCATTTCCCTCAACTTCACTGTTTGAAACAGTGTGTATAACCGTGTGTGTTACACGTGAGGTGGCTGAAATTTGCTGACAAAGGGAGTAGAGGGGAGATCAAGGAAGGAATCAGAATAACATTATGCTCTGTGAGAGCACTTGGCCTCCTCCAGTATCGTGGGGAAGCTCACTGCAGTGTGACAGAGGAGAAAACAAACAATACGATCCTTATAATATGTAGGACTGACTAACACCTGATCTTTGCACATAAACTGGAGGAGGCTCCTTAACTTGATCATCTATGTAAAAGTCCTGTTATACTTTTGTGTCTCAGCCTTTCATCCCACATGGTGCTTAGTTTCTCTCTGGTACCATAGCAAATCAGTAGTGGCAAGCTCTGATAACTTCCACGCGAGGTCTTTCTCTTGCCAGTTCACCTTGTACACAGTGTTGACACGGTCACTGCTATGTTAAAGGATTTCACACATCTTCCCAATTAGCAGCCTTTATATTTTTTTGTAGCAATTAATTTAGTATCTCAGATATTTCTCACCAGATCAGGGTGTCAGTACTGTCTAGATTTTTCAAGCATTCTTCTATACCTGAATTGGTGACCACCATAAACTGACAGGATTAAATAAATTAAGGACTTGTTTAAAATAAAATTAATTAAGGGCTAAAATGAAACGTATTAAGGACTTGTCTATGGGGTAGTTGAGTGATCAGATGCAACCAGTATGGGTTTATGAAAGGCAAGTCCTTCCTGACAAACCTGATCTTCTATGACAAGACGACCTGCTTAGTAGAAGAGGGAAAGGCTGTGGATGTTGTTTACCTAAATTTTAGTAAAACAGCAGTATAGGCTTGGGGAAGAGTGGCTGGTAATTTGTCCAGCAGAAAAGGACATGGGGGTGCTGGTCGACAGCCTGCTGAACATGAGCCAGCATTGTGCCCAGCTCAGTCAGGAAGGCCGATGGCATCCTGGCCTGCATCAGAAATAAGGTGGCAGCAGGGCCAGGGAAGTGACTGTCCCCTTGCACGCAGCACTGATGAGACTTCTGAGGAGCAACTGAGGGCATGGGGTTGTTTAGTCTGGAGAGGACAAGGCTGAGGGGAGACCTTATTGCTCTCTACAACTACCTGAAAGGAGGTTGCAGTGAGGAGGGTCAGTCTCTTTTTGCAGGTGGCAAGTGATAGGATGTAAGGAGACAGCATCAAACTGCACCAGGGGAGGGTTAGATTAGGTGAGGAGAGGAGTGGCTGAGCATTGAATGGGCTGCCCTGCCAAGTGGTGGAGTCCCCATCCCTGGAGGTATTTAAGAAACGTGGATGTGGCAGTAAGGGGCATGGTTTAGTGATGGGACTTAGCAGGTCAGGTTGATGGTTGAACCTGATGATCTTGAAGATCTTTTCCAACCTAGATGATTCTATGATTCTGTGAAAACAAGGATATGAAAAGAATCTACATGTTTTCTACCATGAAAGAGTCTTATATTTGTGTAATCATATAATGACTCAGAATATTTACATAAACATCTGTTAGCTATCCGAAGAAAAATTGTGTTGCTTCAGTTGAAAGTTAGAAATAATTCCAAGAATGTTGATTTTCCAATCATTGGTTGATTCTTACCTGTATGCAGCTTTCATGGAGTACAGAGGTGGACTAATCCTGTTCTTTATTCTTATACCTGTGACTCATCTTCAGTACTGTCTGGTTCCTTGCTCCTTAAAATTCTTTCTGGATTGCAGAATCTAGCATCCTGGTCTGACCTAGCTGACCTGTTGCTACAATAATGACTATTAAACTGTCTTTCATTTTGTAAAACCTGTGTACTTTAATCTTTACGCTTTGATGGTTTGTTTGTACGTGAAATATTTTCTCTCCTTGTAACATCCTCAGCTGAGGAAATTGGTTGCATTATTGGACCTCCTGGTAATGTGTTCTTACTAGAAAACCAGCTTTTCCTGAAATGTAGGCAGCATCCTGTGTTTCAGGAGTGCTGTGGGAAAGGTAAGTCTGTCGTTTCTACCTCTGTGGACTGTCTGATCAAAAATTTAAGAAACTTAACAATTGGAAACTACTACTGAAGTTAACAATAACGTAGTTTGGATAACCTAAGAACTGACTCAAGTCTTGGATTAAAGCACAATCCAAAACTTAATCTACTTAAAGGAATAGTTGGGATAGTCTAATCTCAGTTTCTGCATACCGTAATCTCACCCAGTAATAGCTTCAATAAACTCCTGATTTCACAGAGTTCATTTGAGAATTAAAAATGTGACCTCAGGTATCATTTAGTATGAGTATCACTTTTCCTGTCTTTGGAACATGCTCTTTCTTGTCCAAGTCTGAATTAGCAAGTTGGAGAAATAATTCAGTTTTGACACAAACCCTCTCCATTTACTGCGTATCATTGGTTTCTCTCAGCAGTTTT